CTACTCTCTCTCTCTCTCTCTCTCTCTCTCTCTCTCTCTCTCTCTCTCTCTCTCTCTCTCTCTCTTCTTTCTCTTCTGAACGATCGAAAGCGGTCGATTCAATAACGTAATCGGTATATCCGTCCGAATATCCATCGGCAGCCATAGATCGCGAGGAGTTTGGGGATTCGTCGGCTACGACGAGCGAGTACAGCGAAGAATCCGGTGGATCGAGAGGCTCGGCAGGCTCGAGAGGTTCCGGAGTGTCTAGCAACGGTTGGAGCAACTCGGAAAAGATTGGTGGAGGGGGAGGAGGAGGAGGGGGAGGATCGCTGAGGCAGGAATTGGCGGTAGCGTCTCGGTGCCGGGTTCAGAGTGGACGCGATCCGTTGGTCGGCAAGTCAGCGCCCTCTAGTTTTCGAAAGCGGGAGGGTACAGGTGGTGGTGGACAGTCGGGCAGCTCGACCACGTCCGCGAGCACCGGATTCGCGCGCAGTGTCGCCAACGGCCTCAAGCTCGCCCAAACCCAGGCGATCGCTGTGGCCGGCTTCCTTGCCGACGTGGACTCGCGACACGACCGAATCTGCGCCTCCTGCCTGTCGCATCGGGCCTCTTACCACGGCAGAGGTGACTAATATACGCACCAACTTATCGCACCGAACCACACCACTCTTTCTCTCCATCCGCGTTCGTGTCGATCCGTATATTGTCGTCTCCATTCGTTCTTCCATATTTCTTTTTTTCTTCTTTCTTTTTCTTTCGTTCAACGATGCGAATCAACGTCGCGTCGACGCGCCATCTTCTTCGTTATCGCACGCCAACCACGCCATCACTACGTCGATGCACCAGCGATACATCACCGATACACTCCAACAAGAGGGACATGGTCGGGGTAAAGGGTGTGTGTATCGCATGACTACTCTGCTCGCTCGAAGCATGCGTTCTGCCCGCTCGACTTTCAATCTCGACTTTTTTCTAATCCGCTTGACGCAACTAACCATGCAACCGCTCGGCTGCTATGGCTGTTCGAATCCGCTGTTCAGATCAAGTTTAGTAGAGGCAGAGCGTACCGCGACGAGCTTAATTCCTTCACGACTCTCCTCGTTCATCAGTTTCCTGGGCTGGAGAGAGTAACGGAAGCATCGGCGCAGAGCGCCTGTCCCACAGCTTGCCAGGCAGCCCAGCCGATCGGAAGCCCAATTTCGAGGTGATAGGGAGCGCGGAGAGCCTAGTCGGCCGGGTAAGCATCTTCTTTTTTTCTTCTCTCTCTCTCTGGCCGTATAATAACAAGCTCGCTTCCTTCCTCCCCTCGACACATAAGGTTCTGGTGGAACAAGGATTGGGCAAGTACTGCGACCCGGATTTCGTGAGGTACACGTCGCGAGAGATGCAGGAAGCGTTGGACATGACGCGAGAAGAGATGGATCGAGCGGCTCACCAGCTTCTCCTTCAGGAACGTCGCGGGCAACCGTTGTCCTATCAATTGCAGCAGGGAATGGACCAACAATGGACGTCGTCCTATCAGCCAAGCCAATCGACGGGAATCGGGTATCAACCTTTGCAAGAGCAACAATCGTCCGGACAGCCGCGACAATATCGATCGTATTATCGCGGTGGTGGACAAGCGACCACGACCTCGGATCCGTCGTCGATCCAGCAACAACAACAGCAGCAGCAGCAACAACAGCAGCAGCAGCCACCGCCGTCTTAGCGACGCGTCCATCGGCCGATAGATCTTAGTGTTCCTAACTCGTTCACCTTCGTCGAACGAGATCAAGTTTCGTCCCGGATCGATCGTCGCGGCTAGAACGAAGAGCGAAACGAAACAGTGACCGCGATCTCTTCGATGTTCCCTTTCTCTCGTTACGTGTGTAACGAAGCGTAACGAAGAGGGGAACGAGAGAGGTCGGGTAGGGGTGATTGTGGAAAAGAAATGAACGCGGGCGCAAGCAATAAAAAAAGCAACGAGAGCAACGAGCGTTCACGCGTCCAAGAAAGGGAGATGGGGATTGGAATCGATTATTTTTCGGAAAGGAAATCGATCGTGCGCGATCCTTTCCGATTCGAGGGAGAGTATGGCGCGTCGCGCAAACACTATCACGACGACGATGACAACGACGATGACAACGACGATGACGACGACAACGACGACGATGACGACGACGACGATGACGTGAGAAATGAGAGAGAAACTCGTCGCGAACGATTAATCCTTATTGCTCTCGTTCTTAATAACTTATTCCTTCGATTACCGTTGTTTAGGATATAAATTGAACTCACTATTGCTCTTCGTACGATGGATTACTAGATGAGATAACAAGTGCCTAAGTATCTGTAACTTCTTTCGGACCAGAGAAGACTTTTATCAACTGAGACAAAAAAAAAAATACTATTACCGCGAATTATGAAACGAGTATGTATGCTACGATATTTTGTAACGATATATGTATATATAGCTACATATATATATACACATATATCGTTATATATGTATATTATACAAACACATACACACAATGCGCGCGCGCACATACACACGCACGCACACACGAACCTTTCTTATTGATTATTAATTATTATTATTATTATTATTATTATTATTGTTATTATTATTATGATTATTATTATTACTATTATTATCATTACTCGTATATAATTGTACAAACTACGTTGCGAATATAATAATCGAGGCGCGAGGATGAATGGCCGAATGCTGCGATATTCGTTTGTACGTCGGAGGGTGAACACGCGCACGACTTGCCAAAAGATCAAGCGTGACGCGATCCAGATCACAGCTGAAACGATCGCCGGACGATCGAATCTAAATATCGTTTCTATACATATATACATACATACATACTTACGTACGCACTAGTGCCGATATTTCTACGAAACCGCGCGACTCGATCAAAACTCGAGTTCCATATTTCGAATCGATATCACCATTCTGAACTTCGAACTGAATTTGAAACGCTCATCGGTCACGAATTTCGTTTATCGATACCAAGATCTTTCCTCAACGTTTCCGATCGTTTTATCCTGCCCTTCTCTCTTTCCAACTCGTCATTTTTAACGATTATTTCCACTCCCATATATATATATATATATATATATAGTGTAACCACGCGCACGTATGTTTATATGCGTGCGTACGTGCGACGAAGAATGAAAGGGGAAGAAAGAAAGGAAGATAAAGAGAGAGAGAGAGAGAGAGAGAGAGAGAGAGAGAGAGAGAGAGAGT